TGCCTGTATATATACAAAATATGTCTTGGGGGCACCTGGGTGGCTCAGTCGGTTAAGTGTCTGCCTTTGGCTCAGGTCATGATCTCAGGGTCCTGGGATCGAGCCCCTGCTTGATCGCTGAGCGTGAAGCCTGCTTAAGATTTTCCCTCCCCCTCTGCCCTTCCCCACCCTGCTCATGCATGTGTGCGCGCCTTCTGTCTTGCTCTCTCTCTAAAAGAAAAAACCAACCAAACAAACCCACAAAACTATCACATCAGACAAAGTAGACAATAATGCATGAAGCATTACTAGAAACAAAGGTGGTCATTTCACGATGATTGCTCAGTCAATTCACCAGGAAGAGAGAAGGTAAATTTAAAATCTACACGTACCTAATAACACAGCCTCTAAATATGTAAAGGCAAATGAACAGGAAAGAACAAATGCAGAATCATAGTGGGAAATATTAATACACCCCTCTCAGTAACTGATAGAATAATCACATTCTTTTTTTTCCCTAAGATTTAGTTATTTATTCGAGAGAGAGAGAGAGAGAGTGTGTGTGTGTGTGTGTGCAAGCACGGGAATGGGCAGAGGGAGAGGGAGAGGATCTCAAGCAAACTCTGTGCTTAGTGCAGAGCTGGACTGGGGCTCGATCCCATGACCCTGGGATCATGACCTGAGCCCCAATCAGGAGTCGGACGCTCAAATGACTGAGCCACCCAGGTGCCCTTAGAATAATAGTATTCTTTAAAAAAATCAATAAATAGAGGATTTGAGAAATATGATAAGAAAATCTAACTTAATGGTCATTTTTAGAACACCAACTGCAAAATACATGTTTTCAGGTGCACGTGGCCTATTTTTTAAAAAATTGACCCGGTTTTAGCCATAAAGCAAGTTCTACTTTCGAAGGACTGAATCATACAGAGTATTTTCTCTGCATATATTCAGTTATATACTCAAATATATAATTCAGTGATGCTAAAAATCAATGACAAAAAGCAAATTAGGGCACCCCCCTATGTTTGGGAGTTAGGAAATATACTTTGAAATAACCCATGGATTAAAAAACAAATCACAAGAAAGTTAGAAGATATTTTGAAATTAATTAAAATAAAAAAAACCCCACGATGTAGCAAAACCTGTGGGCTATACTAAAGCCATGTTTAATGTGCTGCCTTCACTCAAGCATCAGAGATGAAGAAAGGCTGAAAATCAATGAAACGGGCGTTCACTTAAAGAACTTAGGGTAAGAGCATCAAATTAACCCCAAGAAAGTAAGAGGAAGAAAACAACAAAGATAAAAGGAAAAAGCAATGAAATAGGAAGAGAAACAAAAGAAACATCACTCCAGATGCTGCAGACACGGAAAACAGGACATGAATTTGAGGGACGACATTATGGTAACGCATCTGGAAAATGAGATGAAATGAGCACTCTCCTGTTTCCAAAAAACCCATCACCCGATAGTGATGCAGGAGGAAAGGGAAGATCTGAAGTCTTAAAAGAATCAAATAGACTCTGTAATTAAAAAGCTTTTAAAAGAATCAACTTGTGGGCTCAGATTGTTTTATGAATAAACTTTTACCAAATGTTTGTGGACAAGCAAGCTTAATCTCCCAGAAGGGAGAAAAGGGCATATTCCCCACCTTGTTTCAGGAGATGATCATAATGTTGATGGCAGCACCCAGGAGAGCACTGTGGGAGGGGGGAGTGCGGGCAGGTCCCTCGCTCAAACAGAGGAGGGAGAATCTGCATCAGCCCCCGAAGCCCGCAGTAGGAGGGAAGATGACTTGTCACGAGCAAAGTGGGTTTATTGTGGGAAGACAGGCTTGGATAACATCGTAAGGTCAATGTGTTTTATCACATTAACAGGGACTTACAGTGAACGTGTTTGATGAGACCCAATGTCCATTCAGGATAGAAGAGTCTTGGTAAACCTGCTATTGGCAAGGAGTTCCCTTGCTTAATAAAGCCCACCTTCGGAAAAACTGACAAACACGTAACTCCAGGTGAAGTGTGGAAAGTTCTCTCTGGAGACCTGGGGCAAGGCCTGGACTCCGCGAGGACACTTATTTGGCATTGCTTTGGAAGTCTCGGCCAGTGGGGTAAGGAAGGGAAAGTCAATGCAAGATGTGAGGATTTAGAAAAGGAGGAAATAAAATTGCCATTATTCGCAGTTGATGAGTTACACAGAAAATCCAAAAGAATGTGCAGGTTAATTAGCAGTTGATAGATGTAGGGTCGATATACAAAACCGCTGTAGCAGCAACAAACAGAAAATGAAATTTGAAAACAAACACTGGAGTTGTTATCATTTGTCCCATAATAAACCACTTAAAACACTCAATATCTTAAACAGACCCACAACTCATTATTTCTCATGACTCTGGAGGGTGGCTGGGTGCTTCTTTCTGCTGGCCTTGCTGGGCTCCCTCTCTGGGTCTGCTGTGGGGTTGGGGCAGCTGGACGACGTCGGGCTCACGTGCACGGTTGGTGCCCGTGGGGTTCTTTCTCCACGTTGTCCTCCATCCCTTCTTTACAGCACGGTGCTCTCAGCAGAGGGGGCCACAGGGGCAGGGGCAGAAGCTGCACGACCTCCTGAGACCTAGACTCACAAGTCCCACCCCAGCTACTTTGGCCATATTCCACCAGTCAGCCCAGAGAAGTGGATAATAGACTCCATCCTTTGTTGGGAGGAGGGGAAGAGAATTTGCAGCCATATCTAACCCATCAGAGATGCCACTTACATGTGTCCTTTACCTACTGGGGTAAATCTAACAGCAGGCGTGTAGGATGTTTGTATGGAGCACTACAGAATATCATTCAGATGATATAAAATCTAAATCTGTGGACGGTGTGTTGGTTCTTGCCCTCCAAGAAGCAAACACCAAGGCAGGACTGGATGGGCATGAGATTTATAATTATAAAAGTCTATAGTCAGGAAAAGCCAGATGGAAGAGATGCATAGGGCAGAGGATGTGGGAAGGTTCCATGTGCTCTCCGGAGAGGGGGTGGGGTGGGGGGGCTGGGGGGGAGGTGTGCCCCCTCCCAGCACCTCCATGGGCTCACCAACCCTGAAGCTCTCCCAACCCGGGAGCTCAGAATTTGTACAGAGGCTTCAGTGAATAGGCATGGTTGATTAAATCATTGGCCCGTGGTGATGAACTCAGTGTCAGTCCCCTTCCCCTCCCAGGAGGTGGTGGGGGTGGTCCCAAAAGTTCCAACCCTCTCATTGAGGTTGGTTCCAGGTCAAACCAGCCCCCAGGCTTAGGGGCTTTCCAAAAGTCTGGGAAGCCCGGCTCCCTGACATGAACTCTGGTGTGGCTGAAAGGGGCTTATTATGATTAATAAAAGACACCTTTTTGACTCTTATCACTTAGGAAATTCCAAGGGTTTAGGAGCACTGTGCCAGAAATGAAGGCCAAATATACGTTTCTTTTTAAAGATTTTATTTATTTATTTGAGAGAAGAGAGAGAGAGCGAGTGGGGAGGGGGAGGGGCAGAGGGAGAAGCAGGTTCCCCACTGAGCAGGGAGGCCAACAGGGGCTTGATCCCAGGACCCCAAGATCATGACCTGAGCTGAAGGCAGACACTTCACCAACTGAGCCACCCAGGTGTCCCCCAAATACACATTTCTTATTATGAAATCACAACATCACAGAGAACCCAAACAGATTCAAGCATGTATGGACACTGATTTTCCAAAAAGGAGCCCTGCAGAGCACTGGATGAAGGGCAGTCTTTCCAAAAACCACAGACTGACTGGAGATCTATATGATAAAAAATAAATTGAGCCCTCCTCCCTCACGTCATAAACAAAAATGAATCCAGCTGCAGATCTGAAGGTCAAAGGCAAAACAGTAGCACTTCTAGAAAATAACCGGACGGAGCATTCCACCTGGTCATGCCTTTGGGGTAGGGAAATACATTTTGAAAAAGACACGAAAGTACTAATCATAACAGACAAGACTGATGAGTTCTGCTGCAGCAAAATCAAGGGCCGTTCTGGATGGCGCAGAGAGGAGCTAACAGGATTTGTGAAGTATTTAGAACTTGATGGAAATGTCGGTGCTGCCTATGGAAACCCGTGGGACGCGGCGTAAGGCATTCTCGGGGAGACATGCGTTCCCCTGCTGCATTTATATGAAAACAAGAAGGATTTACAAATAAGTGAACCAAACTGTCCACTTTTGAAACAGGAAAAGAACAACAGAATAAATCCAAAGACAATAAAAGGAAAGAAAATAAAAGCTAGAGGTTAGGGAAACAGAAAACAAACCAAAAAATAGGACAAACCTAAGTGCCAGTGTTTTGAAAAGACTAATAAAATAGACAGTCCTTTCGCAAAAAGCGGCAAGGAAAAAAAAAAGACACAAATAAACAACACTGGAATTAAAGAGAGGGCATAACCAAGAGATTAAAAACTATGATCAGGAAGGACTTAATACCCCACATCTGAAAACCTTAATGAAACAGACACTTTTCTAGGAAAACATTTATTAGCAAAACCGGCCCAGGAAGAAAGAAAAATCTGAACGGGCCAAAAAACAAAAAAGGGAGATGATATGTTAAAGACCTACCTCCAAAGGCATCTGGAAGTCATATGTCTGCAAAATACACACACCCCACCACTAAATGTGACAATTATTAGCTAAAAATGTAGGAGAACATCTTCCTGACCTTAAAGCTGGGACAGCCCTCCTCAATAGGAGAAATCAGCCAAGTCATAAAACAATGTTAATAATTTGACCATCTCGGATCTGAAATGCCAATCCTACGAGATACCTTGAAAGAGTTCAAAAGAAACACAGCACATAGGGCACCCGGGTCACTCAGTTGGTTAAGCATCTGCCCTGGGCTCAGGTCATGATCCCAGGGTCCTGGGATGGGGCCCCACATCAGGCTCCCTGCTCAGGGGGGGACCCTGCTTCTCCCTCTCCTCTGCTCCTCTCTCTCTGCTTGTGCTCTCTCTCTCAAATAAATTAATAAAATCTTTTTTTTTAAAGGTATGCAGCACACGTATTTGCTCCGTTTACACGTATACAAAGCAAAGTGTAAGTATGTGGGACATGTGGGACATGTGATACACTCCCCCACATCAGTAAGGAAAAAATCCCAGCAGAAATGGGCAATGACTCCAACAAGATAGTCTCAGGCAGAAGGATTCATTTCCAAATGGCTGGCCAGCATTAGAAAAGCTGTGCAGCCTCACATTAAAACAGCCAATTATGTGCGCCCATCAGGTGAGCCAAAGATCCGGAAGTTAGCCAATACCAGTGCCGAGAGAGGCGTGCGGCGACGCAGACGTCCCCCGTGCGGGGAAGAGCGTCAATGTGAGAGCCCCTTTGGACCAGCTCCTTAGGGGCTGACTGTTGAGTCTGGAAATGTGCGCGGGATTACTGTTAGCAACTCCTGTGTTTGTATCTGAAAAAGAAAAAAAGCACAAAAACCAAAAACCCTCTGGGTGCCCAAGAAGGTTCATGCGAAGACATTCATTTTAACATTTAAAAAACGAAAGCGAACACAAGCTTGCCATGGAAATGTCCACTGATGGGTAGCGGGGTAAGCACATGCTGGTGCGTTGAAGAGGCAACGTATTTAACAACAGCAAAAATGAACGTGTTAAAGCCACCTAAATCAGCATGGCTCGATTTAAAAAATATGGTGGGATGGGGGAAGCAAGATACGGAGTAATCTGTACAGCATGATACTATTTTTATAAGCCACACACCATGTTCCAGGTGCATACATGTGTGTGAAAGGATTTACAACATCTGGAAGGATACAGGCCCAACTGATGAAAACGGTGAAACACAGGGGCATTTCTGAGGGACAGAAGGCAGGGAAACCAGCAGGGCGGTGGGTTAAAAGGAACATTAGCTTTATCTGCAGCACTCTACATTTCCAGAAGGAGAAAATGCAGGTAATGTGCGTGCAGGGACTGGGCGAGGGCAGGCGCCCCACGTATGCCACTTTATTGTCACACAGTGAGCGCGAGTCCACGGATGGAGCCACACAGGCAGGCCGTGTGCAGGGGAGCACGTCCTGGATTTTATCTGGAAATCTTACAAGGTTAAGGGTTTAGAGGGCCCAGCCAGATCTCAGAGGGGACTGGAGCCCCAGCAGGGACCAATGTGACCTCAAGGCAGACGTGCGGGCCTCCAGGCTCATCCTGATCCCCACGGAGACCAGGAGCCACAAGGGTCTGCCAGGAAGGCAGCAAGCAGGAGCCAACACACAGGCCACAAGACCCACTCTTCCCGGTCCCCCTAGACCAGAGGCCAATGCTGTGCAGACGAACAGAAAAGAGAGAGCCGGGCATATTTTTCCCCCCAGAGACTGAGCATTACCTAAGGGCTGTTTAGTATATCTCTATGAACTATGTTTTGATTGTTAGGATGAAAAGTTTATTTATGTAATCAGGAAGCTGCAGGTAAGCACTTGCGAAGAGCTGGTTAAGTACAGGACAAATCAAGACTTTACAGCTTGTGGGCTCACCTGATCACAGCTGGAGTGAGCTTCGTGGCCCTGCTCCCCCTTCTCCTGGCCAACCTCCCAGGGCTTTGCACTCTCTGTCCTCCCCGTGGACCGCTGTCTCCTGCTCTAGCTCATATTCCACAGCCTTAGTCATCACCCCACGCTTGGGGTTTATGGAAGCTTGGGGCCTCACAAAGTTCAAAGTCTGCAACCATAGTAAAGAGGCCACTCAACTTGGCTTGGGCAGCAGCTGCAGCCCAGCGCTGGACACTCCCAGCTACACAAAGGGTTTCGGTGGCGGGGGAAGGAGAGCCTCAGGCTGGCCCAAGCTTGGCCCTGTGGGCCCCAGCCCTGCATCTGGCCTCCTTGGACTTCCTGCTTCTGAAAGGGGATGTCAACCACCTCTATTCTGACCTCATTCTGTACTTTCTAATTGATTAAATTCTTCCTTGAAGCTTATCTCTTAACTCTGGCAAAAGACCCTTAACTTTGGCAAAGTATCCCTATTCCGAGGTGGGAACCTAAACTACCCCCTTAAGCCACAAACACTGCCCTGAGCCCGCAAGACCCCGCGTGATTGACCCCAAGACAATGATCAACCTGACGTTCACTGCCCACCAGCACGCACCCACCCACCTTTGTCCCACACTGTCCTTATATAAACCCAGAAGTGTTTTCAGCACTTTGGAGACAGTCTTTGAGATGCTGTCTTCCCGCTGCTGGCCTCACTGAAATAAATTCCTTTCTCGTTTCCCCACCACTCGTGTCTCTGCCTTTGGATTTTGCCAACGGTGAGAGGCCGAGCCTGGTCTGTTTGGGACCCCGGGAGCCAGGTGCTCGTACACCATTGGGCCCCAGCTATACTTCTCTTCCCTGCTCAGGCCCCCTTCCTCCACATTTACTGTGAACTGTACCCAGCTGGGAACTGGGACATCTGTGAGATGCTTTCAGGCCCTGTGAGCCTGGGGACCCTGCAGTTATTGCACAGCGCAGATTTGGGGTGTAGAAAAAAAAATCCGTGCCTCAGTGGAACACGATGCATCGTCTACCATACGTCCTTTCTGCTGTTATGTGACTCCAGGCTCTGTCTCTTTTACCGCGTGCAGATGGTCTCTCTAGGGGATCAGTGATCTCCCCACCCCCACCCTGCAGAAAAGCTAGTTCTGCCTCAACTTAGATATTCATTTCAATGCCCCTCATCTATAAACAGGTCTCCTTTTCTATTTTCTTTGAACCGGTTCTAACATCCGTCTGACAGCTTCGCTGATTAAGGAGTAGAGTAAGTCTTTATCTCTTGTCCGTATTTACCTCCGACTGAGAATTAGGATTTCACCTCCTCCTGAAAATTATCTTTGAGCAGGGTTAGACGAACCGAGCTCAGATCTAACTGCTACAGCTTACCGACTTTGTAACCCTCGCGACATTGCTCTTCCCCAAAAGGGGGCTGGCGGAGACGGACACACAGCTTCGGAACCCAGGGCGCCAGCGCAGCCGCGGCCCCGCCCCCGCCGCGGCCCCGCCCCCAGGCCTTCGTCCGACTACAAAGTCCCCGCCACCCCAGCCGAGCCCAGGGTGCGGACTGGTAGTCCGCGGGGCCGGACGGGGCGGGACGGCCGTACCGCGCAGTCCCTCCATTGGGTGGGGGGCGGGCCCGAGCCTGTGATTGGCCGGTGGCCGGAGGCGGGGACAGGTTCAGGCCTGCGATTGGCCGGCGGCGGCGGAGGGAGCGGCACCGTGATGGAGGCGGCTGGGCCGGTGACCCGGTCGGCGGCGCGTAAGAGGGCATCCAAGATCCCGGAGGAGCAGCGGGAGCGGCGGCCGGCGCGGCGGCGACCGCGGAGGAGGTGGGCCGGGAGCCTCAGCGTCCTCTCCCGTGAGACGGGGTGGTGATGCCCTCCGCCGCCGGCCGCGGGTCCACGCGGAGGGGGCCGGCTGGTGGCATTGGTGCCCTTGCAGCACCGGAAGGGGGTCGTGCCTGGAGCGGCAACATCTGAACTGGGTCTTTAGGGAGCATGTGGCGAACGGGAGGAAGGGTGTTCCAGTCGGAGGAACGGAGTGGGCAAAAGCTCAGAGGCACGAGAGGGGTGGACGCGTCCTTCCGAGCCCATGCTTGGTTCCTTGTTGGGGCATTTGCGCACCCGCGGGGAGGTTAGCAGCACCCCTATGGCCTTCTTGGAAACAGCATCCCTAGCTTTGTTTTAAACCCTAAAGAGTGAGACCAGGGCTGTTTGAGACTGGACAGGGATGGCAAAGGAGTGGCCGCCGGCTGGTGGGGAAGACGTTTGCTTTTGGAGGAGAATGTTGAGATGGCTCGCTCCCTCCTGAGGGAGGAATAACAGGTGGCAAAGGTTATCTGGTACCTACTGACGGTGTTCTGATAGGTGCTGGAGCAGGGGAGCTGAAGGATAGAGAAATCATGAAGGAAGGGGGAAGAGCAGGGTGCAGAACGGAATTCTAAAGGAAGCATTTTCCATAGTGCTTGCGCTTTCATGAGACTTGAATGTCTCATCCCCTCCACCCACCCAGGTAGTTTCAAGGTCCCCTAGGAAAGTTATGAGGAAGTGGCCGTGGATGTGGGGAGACTTAGAGAATTTCCACTTTGAAGCCCGTGGCCAATAAACGGCAGCTGCAGTGTCTGCTCACGTTCTAATGATAATAATTGCTTTGGAAAGAAAGCTAATTTGGATTTATCCAGGGTTTTCCAACTCTGTGTGCCAAAGGTTAGAATCCTCCACGACAGCTGGGGAGTTAGCGTGGGTTCCACAGAACACATCCACGGAAACGTGGACCGGGGAGAAAGCCTGGCCCTGCTCTCTTAGGCCCTGAAACTCTAGTTCTGTGAGTTTTCTGGCCCCTTGGCCATAGCAGAACCTGTGGACAATGTGAAGTCTGACTTTGGTCTCTGCAGGGTGACATCTGGGGGGCTGGTACAGGGGGCTAGGTGTATTTAGAAGAGAGGAGAAGCCGTTGTGTGTCCAGGCGGAGGGTCCTAACACAGGCTGCTGCAGGAAGATCAGCGCCCACTAGTCCCTCTGGTTTGATGGGTATTTCCATAGTTTGCTTTCACAATGTAAGTCCGAGAATAGCAACCCCTCCTCCACATGTCTAGATGGGGCCTAGTCCATTTGCTTGTCAGTGTTCTTTTTCTTCATGCTTTTACTTGAAAAAAAAATTTTTTTTTTTTTACCTTCCTCATTGCTTAGAATTCAGGAGCAAGAAGAAGCCGTCTTTCGTGAAGTGGTCAGTTTTACCCCGGATCCTTTGCCAGGTGAGACGGACTGAGGCTCTGAACACTGTCTCCGGGTTCACTCCTGGGGCTTCGGGGCAGGCCCGGCCCTTCCTGGTCTCGTTTTTCTCTCTCAGTTATTGTCAGAGCGTCTCTGGGGATCCCATACTTTCCATCGGTTCCTCATTGTTCCCTCCTCTGACCAGCTAGATATTATGACAAGGACACCACCAAACCCATCAGTTTTTACTTCTCTTCGCTGGAGGAACTCTTGGCATGGACACCCGACATGGAGGACAGCTTCAATGTGGCCTCGGAGCCCTCTGAGTGTCGGCAGCCCCCGCTGAGCAGCCAGAGGCCCCGCACCCTCCTGTGCCATGACATGATGGGCGGGTATCTGGATGACAAGTGAGGCTTCGTGAGGACATGGCCCGAAGTTAATTCTACTGCCTGTTTTCCTCGCCTGGGACGGGGATGGGGGGGAAGAAGGCGGGAGAGTGAGAGCCGAGTGGCGGAGAGCCCTGAGGCGGAGACAAGCCTCTGGACCGGACCGCCCCGTAAGAGGACATGGGTCAGGTGAAAGCTGGGGCCTCGGGCACAGCCCTGACACCATTTGCTTCCGGGGACTGCGTGCCCTTGAAATCTGGTAGGCGGGGCGGGTACAGCAGCAGGCACCCCCTTCACAATCCTGGGCCCAGAGCTGTGCTCCTCACCCGACCCCTTCAGCTCTGACTCCATCCTCGGCCCGTCGGCTCCGGATGCCCAGCTGTGGCACTCCCGTGTCCCTCCCAGCCAGGGGACACTTCCTCCAGAGTGGCTGCGTGGTCCGCTCAGACGTGTTAAAAGCCCATAAAACAGTCTCGGATGGGATGATAGAAGGGAAGGTTTAGTTGGAGTCGGTCACCAAGGGACAGGCAGAGGCAGGTGGCGACATCTCGGGTGCAGCTCGTGGCTGTCAGCGCAGCCTTACGTGCACGGAGACGGTCCTGGGGAAACTGCTCAGGGGGCGGTGCGGGGACACCAGGCACCTGGAGTTTTTGCATGAGCCCTGCGCCTTCTCTTTTCTCCTTTGTCTGTTGAGGCTGACAACGCTCAGCCGCTCAGCCGTCGGGTCCAGTGGTGACTGCCTGCCCGTCTTGGTGAAGATGTTTCCCTTAAGACCTCCTGATCTCAGGGCCAAGGTGCAGTCCTGCTTCTGGCTCCACCCGGTGTCTACGCCGCGCCGAGTGCGTAGCGAGCTTCTGTTTGTGTCGCCGGCCAGGACTGAAGAGAAGCTTCCCCGGGGTCCCCGTGTCCTGGGTCCCGACTGCTCTGTGTCTCGCGCAGGTTTATTCAGGGCTCCACGGCGCACAACCCCTACTGTTTCTACCACTGGCAGTCCATCGACATCTTTGTGTACTTCAGCCACCACACCGTGACTATCCCCCCCGTGGGCTGGACCAATGCTGCACATCGGCATGGGGTCTGCGTGCTGGGTGAGACCCCGGGGCTTGCCTCCCTCCCACTCGTGAGCACACCTGCCAGATGACCCGGTAACAAAAAGGCCTTTGTCTGCTTCTGAGGGAGTAGGGCTCCTCACCTGGGGCTGCCTTGATAGGTTAGGATAGGAAAGGCAAACTTCTGGAAGGGACCAGGCCACTTGGTCACTGTCATAACCAAGACAATGCAGCCATAAACAACAGGCGAACAGCCGGGCTGTGTTTATGAAATAGGTGGTGGGTGGACGTGGCCCACGGGCCACAGGTGGCCAGTCCATGGGTGCGGTGGTTGCTTCTCAAGCTTGCTTTCCCCGCACCTGAACCATTTATCGGCCTGTTTAGCATTGACTGCTGGGCTCGGCCCACGGGGCGTTTGACTTCCCAGAGACCCGGGACGGCCGAGCATGTGAACGTGTAACAAGCTTGCAGGCCAGGCTACTGTGCTGTTGCAGGAACCACACTTTGCTGACTGCTGAGTTCGCCTGACCTCGTTTCTCTCCGTCCTGGCAGGGACTTTCATCACCGAGTGGAAAGAAGGTGGGCAGCTGTGTGAAGCCTTTCTGGCCGGGGACGAGCGCTCGTACCGAGCCGTGGCTGATCAGCTGGTCCTCATCGCCCAGTTCTTCCGTTTCGATGGCTGGCTGATCAACATCGAGAACTCTCTGAGTGTGAGCATAGCCTTCTCCTGGTGCTTGCCCGGCCCAGTCACCACGCACTGTCCTCGGCTCACCGTGGCCGGTTAGAGCCGGCCCAGACACCTGTGTCACTTCGCCGAGAGACAGAACCTTCTCCGGCACCGTGTCCAGAAACCTTGGTTGGCTGAGCTTTGCCTTGCTGCTCCTTCAGGGGGCCCCTTTCCTCCGGCCGCTTTGCTTGGGCTGCTCGTGCGCCTTCCCCGGGCACCACCCTCCCCTTTCATGGCGTTTCGTCTTTTCTTCATTGTTGTACCCGTGTCCTTCCTGCTTCAGAAACGAAGGACAGTTGGGGCCTCTGGGAGGCTCAGTCGGTTATGCATCCGACTCTTGATTTCGGCTCAGGTCATGGTCTCAGGGTCACGGGATCGAGCCCTGTGTCGGGCTCTGTGCTCAGCCGGGAGACTGCTTGGGATTCTCTTCTCAAAAGTAAATAAAATCTTTAAAGAAAAAAAGAAAGGAAGGATGGTGGGAGACATCTGGCTGGACCCTCCCCTCGGTGGCTGGGGGGTTGGGGGACTCCAGCGACCGTGGCTTTTTTGTTGTCTGTGTTTGCTTCGGAGGTTAAGCTTCCTCCTGTCTGTCCTGCCCTGGGCTCTTCTGACAGCAGACGTCGCTGGGCCTCACCGAGGGTCTGCTCTGTCCCTCCCCAGCTGGCTGCAGTGGGGAACATGCCCCACTTCCTCCGCCACCTGACGGCGCAGCTCCATCAGCGGGTGCCGGGGGGCTTGGTGCTGTGGTACGACAGCGTGGTGAGGAGCGGGCAGCTCACGTGGCAGGACGAACTCAACCAGCACAACCGGTGAGGGTGGCCCTCTGGGCAGAGCGGGCGGGGGCAGGGTCGGAGACACGGGCCACCGGCGGGGAGGACCGGCGCGCTGTCCTGGGCCGGCTGGGCCCCTGCCGTGCGGAGCAGGCTGCGGTCTGGTCCTGAAGGCAGCCCGTCTGGGGGTTAGGGTGGAGGCGAGCGGCGCAAGGGGAAGGAGGACGACGTCCAGGGCGGGCGGCCCCCCGGGCCCCTGCGTCCGGGCCTCATGGCCTGTCCTTGCTGCCTCGCAGGATCTTCTTCGACTCCTGTGACGG